AAGGCAATGAAACGCTGAGGTCTTTATCTTGCTTCACAAAGCACCACAAAGTGGAGTTCAAGATGATGAACTCTTAGCAGCCTGGTTCCCAACCTCAGATCTCAATACGAATTTAGGGCTGCAAAAGTCCACTAAATGTTTAAGAAAATATTTAAAGAAAACTCAAGCACTTTTCCAATAAAAAGTAGGACAAACTCCGAAAGGTTGTTCTGAGAGAGGGCTAACGAACCAAGGAGGACATCGCTAAAGGGACTCCCGTTCATCCTCTTAGGAACCTGGAACCTGTGTCAAGAGAGGGCTTCAGGTGGCCCCTGACACTCCCTGACTTTGTCATCCCCGCTCAGCTCCAGATACCAAGGGCATTCAATCCATGGGTTCAGGCCCCCTCAGTCTTTAAGCCAACTGGAAGCAAATTTAATAGGACATTGGAAGGTCCAGTCTCACCAATTATGAGATTTGGCCATGCTCTTGCTGCCTTAAGCCCGGAACCTATGTGGAATGCCAGCTGCAGCCTGTGTCAGACCTGGATGTCCATCCCCCTTTAAAACTGTAATTTGGATTTCTGGCTACCTCCTTTGGGGCCCAGCCCTGCAGCAGGGCTCTGCTCAGAGACCGGCTTTAACGACACTTCTCCCCTTCCCGTCCTTGAGGTCCTAGCCTATGGCAGATGTTCTGTGGGTTTTTCCAAACAGAAATCAGGGGTCAGCAGATGGAAAAGAGTCACAAGATGAGCCTTCTCCTAGACTGAAAGAAGCTGATCCTAAGATTAAAAATTAACTAGAATTTTATTTTGTGAATTTGTGTAATGATATCTCAGTATCGTATATAATCTCTCTCTGCAAAATAATTATAAGCATCATACATGCATTTTCTCAACATTTTATTATGTAAATATTCACATATAGGCATAAATGGAAAGAATTATGCAGTAAGTACACGTATATCCACCACTTGGATTCTACAATAGTTAAGATTTTGCTATAGTTGCTTTATTATGTTTTCATCTAGCCATTTTTCTATCCATCTCATTTCTTGAAGCACACATCGGTACATTTCATCCCTAAACATTTCTGCATGTACATGTAGTTTTGAAATAGGGTCTATCTACTTCGGATCTTGTCTGGGCTTCAAAGTTGTAAAGATCTCACAGGTTTCCGTGGTGTTGGGAGGAGTTGGAAGTGTGAGGAGGACGGTCGATAACAGCTTTAAAGGTTTTAGGAAAGTATAGTTATATTAAACTTACTTGTTATGAACTCCTGGATATCATGGAGCTATTATAAGGTGTCTGTGAATTCATATATGGACCAAACTTTGTTTATAGACTGAAAAAAAATCTGCACAAGGATGTACCAATACACATCGAATTCACATAGGTAAGGTTGTGATTACCAGTAGAGTAGTATACATGCATTTAAATGTGTGATTGAATTTGTAGTAGTTTTGGTCATCATGTATTTTCTCAAATAATGGTTAACAAAACACAATGACTGACATGGAAGATTATCAGAAACGTTTTCTCCTTCAAAAGGAGGCTTATATTTCATGACATTGGAAATGACCTCTTTAAAGAGGATCAGAGAATTGCCCAAAGGACAGGGACTTTGGGATGCCTGTGATGACTGGCACTGTGCTCTTCACTCAGGATAAGAGTGTGATGTAAATGAGCTACTTTAAGCTATTGCCTGAACAAAGGGCAGAATACACAGGGTTCAGGCCATCAGGTCTAGGTCAAAGTCTGCAACACTAAATAGGCTACTCTGTAGCCTTTAATCCCGTGACAGAAGTTGGTTGAGAGCTAAGTTGTGGCAGCACAATATAGATTCCTGGATTTTGATGCTCACAGAGAATAAAACCATATTAATATTAATTCAGCAAGAAACAAGGGGGGGTGGCCTTCTGACAGCATTTAAGGTTTCTTGCAAAGGTGCACCTGTTTTGTGCCTAAAAAAATTTTTTTCAAAAAAAAAAAGTTTCCTGCAAAGGAAAACTTGGTTGTGCTGAATTCTCCACCGCATTTAAAACTCATTTTCTAGAGGTCAGTTACCTACCAATTTTGGATGTGCTTGCTGCACCAAAAACAGAAACACAAGTTTGCCTTTGTATGCAGCTGAGGCTTTTATTATCTAAAACGGACAGGTACTGACCCTGCTAGTAAATTATCTCTACACAAAAGAACCATAGCTATATTTTCCTGAAAATAAAGGTGAAAATGTAGCTAAGCAAATGTGTTCTAGATTTAGACAACCAACTCTGCTACTTGTTAGCCTATTTGACATGAGACAAATTATATGACCTCGCTCTACTTATCTGCAGATTAGTAGTAATAACAGTTTTTGCCATATAGGACTGTCATGAAAATTAAATGAGAT